GCAGCAAGCACCAGCTTGGTACAACAAGTGGCCCAGCCTACAGGGAAGTTGTACACGAGTCTGCCAATTGTGAATTGTGGACATTTGAGGGCCCTTAAATGGCATGCTGGGCGTCAAGGGCAAGTCACACTTGCCAAACGCGCCTGTACGGGGACATGCGAAGTACTCCGTTGCTGTACCTGTGGCTTTAGGATTAGTCTCGGTCTCACCGCAGCTGTGAGGGTTTGTCTCAGGGGTTAAGGTGCACAGACAAAGAGACTGACACCTGAGAGGCACGCACTGTGCGAGACAGCTCGAGGGCTATGCCAACACGCGCGCTTGCGTGTCGATGCCCCCCCTCCCACAAATACGCAAACACTATACGCTACATAGCTGCATGAGGGCAAAAGCCCCTTCAACGCGCTAAAGCTGACCTACAGTGCCCTGGCTGCATTGTAGGGTCGAGCCTGTGTTGAACTGCGAGCTGGGCGGGGGCGTGAGACTAGCACAAACCGTTTGCTCAAATGGTGGGCCACGAGCACCGTGGTGAGTGTCAGACCTCTTGAAGCTGTTAACCATTTTCGCAATGTCCACTTGCAAAGGATGGGTCGCATTGCCTTTGCTACTTCTTGACAGGATTCTGAGCTTTGCACGCAGAGCGATGCACAGACATGTTTGAATTAGAGCCTAAGAGAAAAACATGCAAACCGTAACCAGACATGTGCCGTGGTTTGACCGTTCGGCCTTAGAATCTGGTGTGCTCGTTTGTGCAAATTATGCCTGTCGCCCCTACAGATTTGAAGCATGCCTGTTTTTGTTGAGGACACCGCCTCTTTTGCCCTTGAGGCAACTTTCTTCATGCAGTCCTTCCGTCATTCCTCCTGTGGAATATCTTGACACTGCCAAACTCGGTCAATGACTCTTTGCAAGTCAGCGTAATTCGCGTACATTGCATTGTCACCCGGGGGCGGCAAGCTGCAGACGCAACATTCCTTGCCTGCACTTGATTGGCAAGACAGGGGTTGAAGTAGTCATGCACTTACGCTTCCAATCCGCGTGCATTCTTTTGGGGAGAGAGTTGTTGCTCCACCCATGACATCCGGCGCAGCGTCCCAAGGCTTGATGGAGTGGCTTGCGAGCGATGAGGGCCCCGTGTTCCGGCCCAACGAAACCAACAACCCGAAGCTGATCGAGCTTTGCCTCCTATGACGTGCAGGTGTTCTTTTATCAGGGGTGCAAGTCTTCAAGCCTAGGTCATTACGATGTTGTTGCCACTGGGCGACAGATTCCCACACATACACTTTCTGTGTTCTTGGCCTTTTGCCTTGACATGTTGTTGCTTGCCGAACCCTGCTACCATGCTGGCCTACGGCTCTTTGGTGACAGGCGCAAATCTTGCCAGCGGGTACAGCAGTCAGATTCAGACTCAACTTGACAGGTTGCGAGACGAAATGGTCCTGGATTCCTGTGTGTTTCCCGCTAGGCTGCCGGCCATAATTATTCAGGCTGCCGTCCATGTAGAGCCCAAAAGGAAGGGAAGCTGCTGCAAATCTACTCCCCCAACAGTGCAAAGGACCATAGATGCATCTTGAGCTAATGAGGGTCCCCGCGCCAGGCTCGGAACGGGGGAGCAGGGCCGACTTTGCAAAGTGTGTGACAAGAAACTCCCTGGTCCTCTACCTGCCTCGTTGAAGTATCGTAAGATAAATGTGATGTTTGACATGTATACATACGTTTGGGTGGCCCGTTCAATGGGTCTTTTCGATTCCAAAAACGCATGATGTTCCTTTGGCACAAGCAGTCGGAACCCGTTTGTTGGAACCCGTTGCTCAATGCAAAAAAAGCACCGAAGCAAAGTAAATCACGGCAAGGGAGATCGATTGCGGAGCAAGGGCCATGATTTCACGCATGCTGTGGCGTATACAGCATACATCACCTTATACCATATCACATCACATGACATCACCTCAAGGCTCATCATGTCACAGCACACCCTACTGTGGCGCAACATGTTGCAAAGTGAGCCGAGGAAATTGCAGAACAAAAGACGAATGCGATGCCTGGGCCTCAAACCCTGGCTTGTTGTCCAGAAATGGGTTTGTAATGGCTCACCTTGAGCAGTCCAAGGGCAGTGGGCGTGTTTGTCTCTGACACAAAAGCGCCCTCCAAAACCGAAGCCGAAGCCCAAATGAGAACTGGAAAGCGCCGAGACGGGCTGCACTTAACCATTTGGAGAGCCGACTTGGATGGCCCAAGTGTGAGGCACGCTCAGAGCGACAACACGAAGCTGAACGCGCCTGAGAATAACGTTGCTGGCACAAAAAGGGACCCGGCGCTGATTGTGCAGGACGCTCCAGCCATAAACGTAACTCGGGCTTGGCAGATACAATCAGATATAGTTTGCCAGAAGGCGGCTTGCTTTGCATGAGCCCTGGTCAGAGGTTCGTGCAAGAGTGAGTTATAGAGTTCAGAAAATGACGGTGCAAGCATTCAACGGAGGCCCTTTTCCAGTCTTGCCATTGAAGCTTCGAACTTTTTGGGCGCTCAGCTGTGCCAGCCATGAGGGTTTTATGCCATGGCCGTCCCATGCAGGAGGGCCAGAAGTCGGCGTCCAAAAGTTCCAACGCCTACCACATGGTATTGACCGATGTGGAGCGGGTGTTTTGCAGCGCGGGCGCTGCGGGTCATGACCTGACGGGGTCGCACGTTTTGACATGTACGTGTTCATGCATGTATATATATATATATGTATATATGTATATATATGTATATATGTATATATGTATTTTAAGATTCATGTGGCCCGCCCCCCCCCCCCAGTGCGTTTGACCTGTATTTCTGCAGTGTTTTATGCCTGTTTGTGCTTCTTGGATTTTGTGTCAAAATTTGGGAGGTGCCATATGCATACATGATATGCATGCATGCATACATGTGTGATAAAAGCAATGGCATCAGCATCTGCAATCTGAAAGAGTTTCATCCAAGAGTAGAACAACTCAGTTTAAACAAATCTGGGTTCAAGATTCAAGATTCAAGAATCTGAGAGAATATTTGCTGGGAATCTTGAATATTGAATCCCATAATTTAACATTTTTGAAACATTCCTCCCGGTGTTCAATGAGATTCTCGGAAAAGCTTTCCGTGAAATATGTCAATCTCAAATCTTCAATCCAGTGGTAAAGTACGTTCGAGGGTTTAGAACAACTTGAACATTTTCAGGGGTTGACCGGATGATTCTCAGGAAAGTTGTTGTTTGTGCCATCCTCAATATTGAATCCTCAATCCAGTGGTAAAGCACTTTCAAGTGTTAGAATAACTTGAATGTTGTTTGGGTTTGGCCAGGATTGACAATTATCAGGAAAGTTTTCTGTGCAATCTTGAATCTTGAATCTTCCATCCAGTGGTAAAATACGTTCAATTGCTTAGCGATCCAGAAACCTTTCAAGTTGTTAGTTAGACAAACTTTCAAGCGCTTTTGGTGAGCAGTTTGCTTCATGTCAGCTGTTCTCATGTTGAACCTTTTCCAGGAGGTAAGCAAAGGTAGGCGTAATGCTCAAAAACACTGTATTTGACAGTACTTTGTGAAGAGGCGCAGGATCATCAGGGGTACTATATATATATATATGTGTGTATGTATATATATATATATACATATGTATGTTCGCACACCGTCACCCCTTTCGCCTCCTGAACTACCTGTCCACATTTGCTCATCTACTACATCCACCTTTTGATATAGAATGTTTTGCGTTTTCCTTTGCAAATAGTCCCTGTTTAGAGATAGTTTTAGAATTTGAACCTCTCTTGAAATTTCCTTTGGAACACCGTCTCCATTTCGGACCTTTCTTATGCTACAAAAGGGCCAGAATGTAAATAACACAAATCGTATTTCGGTGTTCTTTGTAGAAGTCCCTGAAATGTGTAGCCATATTTTAGTACGAATTATATTTGAGAAGTAGTCTCTGTTTTTGTTTATCAACAGCTAATTGAATGTTTAGTATTAGATTATATTTACCACTTAGATTATATTTGGGAATAAACTCCTATCTAAAATAGTTTGTTAAAGATTAGTTCGAGTTTACCCGAAACTATATTTATATTATCACGTAGCTCCTATTTGGCAAGAATTTGCTTATCTAAGCTGTAATTGAACAAGCACACATTTTGAAAACTACATGAAGTAAAGGCCTATTTGGATAGGGTATCATATTGGGACATTTTGGAGGACTCCGGGCTCCAAATTATCAGGCTTTGGGGACCCAAACTTGGAAAATTTGATAATTTAAATCTCGAGATTCTGTATGTACCATCCCCAAAAGGCACTAAAAACCAGGGTCCATGGGGGGGTGGTGAATATGTATATCTATATATATACAGATTTACGTATTCTATATATGGGCATACGGTTCACGGTAGATTGTTTACATGTACCAATATGCATTCACAGAGCATCATGTATAGGCCACTTCTCAGCTCACAAGAAATGTCCGAATTCCATCGTTGCTTTGGTCCTTGGAAGCAGGGAACTTCTATGGGGTGTTACCAGCAGGCAAAACTGGACAGTGCAGGAGCGGCAAGAGCACTTGCTTCGCTGCAGCTCACGGAATAGCGCGGGCTCCAGAGCGACTGCAGCAGAGTCGTTAGACTCAACAGGCGGGGCTCACAACATGGGTCTTGCATCGAAAGGCGTGTGACAGGCTGCCACGAATGCTGTTAGATGCTCTTCAGTCAAACTCCCGTTTGCAGTCATCATGTTTTCGACCCTGGAAGGCGCCACCAGCAACGCAAGCGACACCGAAAGTGAAGCCTACGATGGCTTCTTCGGAAGTTGGAGGAAGAGCGCCTAAGATGCACAAAGAGCAGTCCGCACAGTTGATCACTGACAAGCTTTGCATCGGCGGGGCCGGTCCAAGAATTGGATCAAACTTCGTGAAACCGCAAGGGTGGAGATTTGGTTTGGTGATACTGTTGGGTGTTTGAAATTTCTTGGCGGAAGCCAACCTTTTGCTCCTCTCTTGTCA